CTTCATTTTGTTAAACTTCATGAGGTCAGAGCAGCTGGAGCACTTGAAGGCTGAGGAAAAGCAGTCATTAAGAACCTCAGACTTTTCCATATCCAGGGTAGCCAGTTCTCCCCTTTCCTTCCAGAGAGGACCCACATTATCTCTAGCCTTCCTTTTACGTGTGCCATACCTGTATAAGCCCTTCTTGTTATCCTTAATGTCCCTGGCTAGCCTCAATTCCAACTGTGCCTTAGCTTTCCTGACTGTGTCTCTAGCTTCTCTTACAGCTGCTCTGTATTTTTCCCAGTCCATTTTTCCTCCCTTCCACCACCTAAAGGCCTCTTTTTTTCCCCTGAATTTCCTCAGCACTTCATTATTCATCCACAGAAGCCTTCTGGCATTTTTGCCCAATTTCCTCTGTGTCTGGATGCATTGCTCCTGAGCTTGGAGTAGTAGATCCTTGAAGATCAGCCAGCAGTCTTGGGCCCCTCTGCCTTCCAGGACTTCATCCCAGGGGACTCTGCCAAGAAGGTCCTTGAAGAGGACAAAGTCCGCTGTCCTTAAGTGCAGGGCAGTTATTTTGCTGTGCACCTTCCTCACTGCCCTAAGGATCTCAAACTCCACTATCTTGTGGTTGCTACAGCCAAGGCTGCCTTGGAACACCACGTTCCTCACCAGCTCCTCCCTGTTGATGAGCACAAGGTCCCGCACAGCTCCTCTATCTTCTGTGTAAAGAACTTGCTCCCTGCTAGTTCTTCTTCTTCATGGTTTGCCATGGAACCATCAGGAAAAGGAAGATCTCGAGACAAACTCTTGTCCTATTCCTTTTCTTCCCTGTCTCCATTCAACCCAAGGTTTTACTCACCCCCGGGTGCAGTTTGGATGGCAGCGCTGGCAAACACCATTCCCATCAGCATATTTCCAGACGAGAGTGTCATTCTCACCCAGAACCCCTGCTGGGCATGATTTCACGCAGTGGGGGCCATCTATAAAATGGGCACACTTCATGCAATTGTCAGGGCCCTGGAAAGAGAAACAACATGTTTATAATGCACTTAAAACAACCTATTCATAAGGAAATTCAGAAGATAAATCTAAATGCCTTCCACTGCTGAAAGTTTTCAGCATCATCTGGTTTTATGAACTTGCTACCTGATACTCTTGCAAGTATTTGCTCTTGTAGGATGGACCATACAAAAGGGAGTCCCTGTTGATTAAAGGTAACATTTTCTTGCATTTCAGTGTTGCTTCTTTTTCCTTCTGCCTTCTACCTGGTTGGAAAACTTGCATTTTTCATTTAAAATGGGGAATAATTTAATTAAGCCTTGGTAAGGGGTAAACTGAAAAGCAGACAGCTTGGCTGCTACCTGGTGCATCTACCATCACACAGTTTAAAACACTGGACCTGGACTGGCTGACACCTCCCTGAAGTACTGTCCTCAAACCATTATTTTTCTGGTTTTTCAACGCAGATTCTTTCCTCTGTTAGTGAGAAGCAGGGCATAATGGAGGCAACCCAAGGAGTCCATGTTGGGTTTTTTATTTTGAAAAGCACTTAGCTTGTGTTTAAAGGTGCTGCCTTTGGCAGTTTTGAGCAGAACTGTTTTTATTCAGACTGTAACAGCACCATGAATGACCTAAATATTTTAAAGCAGGGGAACCAGCAATTCTGGGTCAAATTCTACTACAGAGAAAAAACAGACCAGATCCACAGCGCCAGTTGCTCTGGGACTAAAGTAAGACATGTTATAGGAAGATTATTTTAATTACTGTAATGTCTAAGGGCCACTACAATAGACTGATTACTAGATACTGGGCAAATATGGAACAGGGGGTGGTCACAGCCTGAAGGAGCTTGTAATGTTAATGACATCCCTGAGGCCACAGTGCTAGAAGGGAGGATGAAAATGCTTCACATTACTGAGCAGTGACTCTTCCAACTGATGATGGGCAAGGGTTGAACATCGAGAGGCTGCCAGGAATGACAAGAGGTGTTTAAAGAGTTGGGTTAAATAGAGAGGAAGACCTGTGATGGAAGCAGGAGATTTGCTCTCAATTACAAAACAAACAAAAAAAATCCAATCAACCAAAAAAACAAACCAAAATAAAACAAAAAAACAACAACAACAAAAAAAAAGAGAATTGGAGTTTTGCAATTAAGATATGAGTTTGATCTAATTTGTTCACACCGACTTGGCAGTTCAGTAGCTACATGTCCCTCAAATGTTTGCCAAGTGACTGTATCATCACATACACAAGTAAGCCTTTTTTTTTCTGTAAAAAGACCCAAAAAAATGAAGACCCTACAATGCCTGTGACTGGATTACATGTCATGAGAGAAAAATAACACCCTGAGGTTTCCCCTCCTGTATCTCCTCCCTTGCCCCAAGATCTTGACTTCTAACCACCCTCAGAAAGGGTTAAATGAGACCTCAGGATTATCTCAACAAGGGAAATACATATGAATACACTATCTGAAACTCAGGTTTGCTAAGGTGAAACTGCTCTTACAGGTCCAGTACAGGTTGCATTGTATGCGGTGGAGTTTTGCACCAGGCACTCAGGGTGGCAGGGGAGGCACTTAGAATCCTTTTCAAACTCTCTTGGCTCTCTGGAAAACAACAACAGCAACAAAAAAAGAGAGAAATAGTTAAAACCCAGACTAATTAGCAAGGGATAAATTGCAGTCTTCTCTCCTTTTCCTGACTTTTCCACTTTAAATAGATTGAGATGATCTCAATGTTGATTGAGATACTGAGACAGGAGAATGTACAGGGGGACCCTTCTGGCTGTACCAGTAACACTTGCTCAGTGCAACCAGGAGGACATAAGAGTAAGGGAAATTTGGTTGACAGCAAAACATATGGCACTCCAGACTGCACACTACAAATTAGTTTTACTTTCCCTTTTAAGCTAATGCCACACACAGAATATTCACAACCATTTCTAGAGGCTTTAAAATGGTAGTGATGCAAAGAGATCAGCAAACGCAGTTCAAGTGATTCTAAGGCTACAAACAGTAATTAGGAAAGTTAAATAGCAAGGCGCTGATAAATTTGTGTCCTCTCTACAACACACAATGAATCATGAAAATATGAAAGCTGGGAACAGATGGTTTCAATAGCAATAAAGCTGTTCCACTTCAAGTAATGGTGTTATTAATTAAACTAAATCTACTCATCATTTGACACAAAAAATGCCCAGATCTGCCCTTCAGGTTATAATAGCTGCTGGAGGGAATTCACTTTAAAAAAGACAGGTGCTGAGCTGCAAGTCACCAGAGAAATACAAACATCACAGGCATTAGCACCCTGACAAGTTCTTTCTTAATACTCATAAGCTTTAAAAGTCAAACTTTGAAAGACTGACTAAAAAATCCCTGTAATTTTTATTGCTAGATGTGCCTTTCCTGCCAACATCATCTGTTGAACTGACTGAAGAACACGGCCGCAGCCCTGACACACAGGCAGTGATGTGTTTTCTGTGGTCTGAGCAAGGCTGAAGCAACAATTTTGCCTGAAATTGCTGCTCTCAGTGCCTTTTGGATGAAAGTTCATTCTTCCTTGACTGCAACTTTGCAAATCGCAAGAGTGAGCTGCTCATCTGAGTAAATTTGTCCCTGCACAGGGCAGGGGAGGGGTTGGGACTAGATGATCCCTGAGGTGCATTCCAACCCCTTAACATACTATGACAACCTATGAAATAAAAGGGTCCTTTTTCAGTAAGGAACCCTACCAAGCAGTGAAGCTCTGGCTCTGGGGACAACTGGGCTCCCAGTAAATTACTCTGTCTCTCACCCAATGTACATGACACGACAGTCACAGCTTGAATTTTCACCTGGGTGTTAAGCTCCTTTATTTATTATGGGAAGGAAGCATAAGACTTCGTCTCCCTGTGGGCTTAAGCAGATGTTTTCTCAGCAGTCACCATGGCAGAAGCAAACTCCTAAGCAATATTGAATGATGGAAGAGGAGGTACCTCAACTAGGTACTATGCTCACACAACATCCCTGCAAAGCTGGTGAAATCCTGTGTAACCAGAGATTCTATTTTTTGCTTTCTTTCTAGCAGCAACACATTTTCAAAGCAAAATCCCCAAATCATCACCAAAACCTCAAGCATCCCTGAGAAACCTTACCCTTGAAGGATGTTGCACTGTTTCACACACTCCTTCTGGCGATCAAAAAACCTGCAGGAGAAGCAGTGGAAGGGTCCTGGGCCCCAGCAGCCCACGTCTGAGCACAGGGGGTCACAAACATGCTTGGCAGCAGCTGGGAGAGAAGAAGGAGATAAGAAAAGCCATGAATGTCAAGGCAAGAGAGAGGTGAAGCTCTCCATCCTCATTACATCTGACCAGCCAGTTTCTCCAACCTGTTACAGAGCAGATGAGAATGGTCCTGGCAGTGTGAGAGATGAGTAATCATGCTTTTATTAAGGGCTGAAGCCTGAAATTAAGAGTGATTTCTGGCCTTCCAAAATAAGAATGAGCTCCTCTGTGATAGCTTAACAGATGTATAATAAAGCTAAACCAGTACCAGGCTGAGAGGTGGGGTTGTCCAGCCTTGAGAAGAGACAGCTCTGGGAACCTTACTGGGGCCTTTTAGTACTTAAAAGGAGCTTATAACAACTTTGTAACATGGCCTGGAGTGCTAGGACAAGGTGAAATGGTTTTAAACTGAAAGAGTAGATTTAGAATGGATATAATGAAGACATAGTCACAATGAGTGGTGAGACACTAGCATGGGTTGCCTAGAGAAGTGGTGAATGCCTACTCCCTGGAGGAGTTCAAGGTCAGAACAGACAGGGCCCTGAGCAACCTGGTCTAGTGAAAATTTCAACCTTGTGAAGAAAGTCCAATGTTTGGAATTAGCTTCTGTGTCCTTGAACTGATATGGCTTCACTATGCCCATAGTGGTGAAGCAGCTCATGATCTGCTGGACAACATGAAGTCCATATCCTTTGTGGGAAAAAAAATCCCACTTTTTCTTCACCACCTTTATTTAAGCAATGTAACTGAAGAATTTTGTAGCCAAAGAAACAGGGAGAAAAAAGGATTGCTCGAATTATGAAAACAGAAGCTTACTCATGCATTTCAGCATGAGCTTTGGCAGGGAACAGGAATGTACTGCTGACTTACCACACTCATTTTGATCTCTATTCTGTAAAATCTTTGTTTTCTGGCTCTGAGTTGCAAACAGGTTGCTCCAGTCCATGGTGTCAGCATAGCAGAGGTTCTTGTTCTTCATAATGGCAACATCTCCATCACTTATTTCCTTGAGGGAGCGCAGCCCTAAAGACTGTATTTTCAAGTTAACGACAGCAAGGGAATACTGGCCACTAAAATGGAGGTGGACAAAAAGAAAGCACATGCAAGAAAGATAATTAGTAAGCAGGGTTTCACTCGACATGTGTTTCTTTTAGTTTTCAAATGTGTGTTGCTGTGATCTGCATTTTGTTCAAGCAAGATCCTGCTCAGCCCTCGAAACTTAGTGCTTGGTACATGACATGCCTATTGAAAACAACTGCAATACTCCTATCTGGTTTTGCAAGGGCTTTTCAAGCTAAAACTGGCAGGGCACATGCATTCTGACAAGTAAATGATGTACAACAATGGTTGTAGGTAAGTAGCAATTATTTTGTGCTTGTCCACCATGTCATTCTTCCTCTTGGGCAAGCCTAGGAGGGCACTGGAAGCACTGCTGGTGTCCACACTGCCTGCCAGCCACAATCTCCATCCCCGACTGTCTAGTTACCTCAAAGTGCTTCTGATCACATTATAACTTCCCCCAGACTGTAAAGAGCACTCTTGGTCCTGCTTGTGCTTCCAGGATGGTGGAAGAAACTCTAGTCCTGAGAGCAGGCTCAGGGCAGCCAACCACACAGAGCATAGAGATGAGGGTCTTTACCCCTGGGGCACATTATGTACTGTTGAAAAGATCACGCTATACTCCTCACAGTGTCTGTCCCATTTTGCATCAGTTTTGGGACATCTGAGTCTCACAACACTTGTAACCTTGCTGTGCTCAGACAAAAGCAGCTCTAAACAGAGCTCTTCTTACAGTCACTCAGGCACATGATTTACTTACTGTTGCTTTGTTCTGCCTCGTATAATCTCCAGATTTTCGAAAGCATAGAGATCAGTAGCATTCTCGGGCCAGGCTTGAATCAACAAAAATCCTGAAATAAAGAAAAGAACAATAAAATATAATAATAATGAAAATGAACCCATGGTCAGTATTAGCAGTAGAACCTCCTCCTCAAGTAAATCCTGCAACAGGAGAAGGCACTTATGCTTTCCCTATATTTATCTGAGAATCTCAAAGTGAAACATGACATTTCAGGGAGTAGTGAGATATTTTTAGACCCCGTTTTATAAACAGTTTACTTCTTAGCCCACCATGAGGGCTTAGGACTGCAACAGATGAGCATGTTGGTGAGTTGCAGTTCCTGCCACACGGAGTCACCGGTGATAATGGCTCTTGCCAATAGATACTCTGTCTGAGGGGCTGCAGGACCTGGTCCTGTGGGAGCTGCCCTCGGGGAAGAGGAAAACTGAAGAGAAAGCAGGAACAGAGCAGAACAGGCAGCTGCTTGGAGTGGATTTGCTAAGGCAAGCAGAATTCCCTTGCTCAGCTGAGCTGTTAAGGAAGAGGGGGGAGAATTTGGGAAATTGCAGGTTGCCGTATGAAACTCCACAACTAGGCATTGCTACCCTGAAGGGAAGCAGACAGGTAAAAGAGAGAAAGAACTGGAGTCATGTATGTGGACCCAGCTCCGATGTTACACTCATTTTATCATAGGCTGAACAAAATTACTTTTAATTGATACTTTGTGCAAGACAGTAGCTGAGTGTTCCACCTGCTGCTTTGTGTTTGTGGAGATACATTCACCTCAAGGAACAACTCTTCAGGCTGGAGAGGTGTCTCCATGAGGATGATACAAGCCACTAAGCACGCTTCCCTAAAGAGCTGCTGAAAGGTTTTCTACAAATAGAAACACACTTGGCTTTTTTTAGCTGGAGTGTCATGCCTTTGCATCACCGCAAGCTTCTTGGGTGGCTGAGGATCTCCTTTGCTTTTACTATTTTCTAGGGTTGACAATTCAGCAGAAGGGATGTTCTGGCCAAATCACACATCTTGGATGCAAGACCAGTATGGGTTATGTGGGTGTAATGCTGGCAAGGCACTGCTGACCACCTGAAGAGTGACCCTTGGTAGCTCAGAGACAGAAACCCTTCATTTGCACTTCTTTTCATGTGTTTAAAAAATTTCCCTCCTCTCCCTTTGTGTCTTTGGCAGTATCAGTCAGAGAACATCTCAAGTGAAATCTCATTTGCTAACCTGATATTTCTTTTACTGTTTTGAAGACATCCAATTTCTTGGGGTCCAAGGGTAGGGTCTTTGTGAAGGCATCACTGAAAAAAAACAGAATGAAGAATTGGGAAAAGAACAGCTCAGACTGAATTTCTCCCTAGCCCTTCTCTTTCATTGCTTAATGACCAGCAGGTAACTCACCCTAGAAATGCAACTGGGAGAATACTGACATCCCCGTTGATCTTGGTACAGTTTTTGAAAGAGTCGATGTTTGTGGCATTTATGGAGAGAATCCCTTTAAGTTCACCTATTCCAATGCCGTTGCACACTGTTAAAAGAGAGATATAAAAGTCAAGGGGGCGAAGAGTGAAACTGAATCACATGGAAGGTAGAACCATGGAGATGCTGTGAGTCCAGAAAGCATTCCCATATGGTCAAGCCTACCACTCTAAGATAAGTTTCATAGATCTTTTGCCTATTCTTGCTTTTCAGAAAGTGCCACAAGTTAACCACTTCCTGCTTGCCTGGCTGTGCAGCTCTGGTCCAAGCATCTCTGTGCACAGGCTCTGGTACATACCCTTCTCTTACTCTTTGTTCCATTTTCATTTTACTCCCCTTGATGAGATACTGGGAAGGACAAATGGAAGGGAAGGTTGATGTTCAAGATACACATGCACACAACACACAGTTTATCTCCTGTACTTGCGGTGTATCCCAGTTGGAGGCCATGCTCCACAGCCATGTTTCCTGATCAAACCATTTGTCAGATCTCCAAACTATCACCGGATCTGACTTATATTGCATTTGCACTTAATTAAGATCAGAATTCCCTGCACTTTTTGTAAAAAGTGACCTATCATTTCAAAGCTTTACTTGTTTATTCCATGGGTTTTATACCTTTGCTGCACAGCCCATCACACTTTTTACATTTCCGAACTCCATTCTCTTCCACTTCATAAGTATTGGCATTGCATGAGCGAACACAGGAGCCATGGTCTGTCACCACGTAGTTGTCTGGGGAAAAAAAGCATACAAATGTTGCTGAAACACAAGAGGGATGCATTGGGGGCTGGACAAGCACTTCAATATTAGTAAGAAAAAGGGGTTTTCAACTTTTGGCACACTCAGCAAAGTACAGGCATTAACTGTGAATTTTCACAGACATTCTTTGAAGGTAGATGGACAGCGCTATCATGATTTTACAGAGATGGGAATGATCACTGAAGCATAAAATGATATTTAAGTCTTGATGGGTTAAACACATGGACATGGAACAGCAAGAAAGAAAAAGCAAGTATCAGAAACAATCACAGGGCTTGAGAGGGAGTGTTAAAACCAATTACTTTCTACCAGTCCTAATTAAGAACCAGTTAAGAGTTGATAACACTTTGGTAATCCACAGAATTGATTCCATGCAGCTGTTGTTTTGATGATTTTTAAAATATGCCTTTTTCTCCACCAAGAAAACAGTCTTCAGAAATCAAAATGTAATAATTAAAAATCTGGGAAGGTGATGGATGCAGACAGTTTGAAGAGGCTTATTTTGTCATCTGTTCCTAGCTCCCACAGAAGCTGAAGAGAACAAGCGCTGCTGCACTTGACCACAACACAGAGGGATGACATAGGTCCCCTCCCATCTCTCTCCAACCCCCCAGCTCCTCTGTGGCAGCACCCCAAAATGAACTTACGTGGACATTCCTTCACACAAGTGGCTCCAAAGCTGTATTTTCCCTCAGAGTTGACATCCATCTGGTAAGTGGTGGGGTTATACAGTACTAAAGGGGGACACGTATCCTTGCATGTAGTACCATCCCGAAACTTGCGGCATGCCTGTCACGGAACAACAGCACCCATTAAACTACCTTCGCCTTAAAAAGAGACAACAGTCTTACATTAGGTCTTTAAAACACTCGGGTGGCCTCATCTACTTCCTGCTTAGCTCTGATGGAAAATCCAAGCAGCTACAGGGATGGTCCCTCAGGCTTTGAAGGTGAAAGGTTCCTTAAGGCTGGGCAATTGAGTTTAATTTCTTTTTTTACAAAAAAAAGAGACCATAAACTTTTCTTTTTCTAAACAAGAAACCTTGGCACTCTGGCAGAGAGCTGCTGGGATTCACGTGGGAACAGGAGCAAATTTGCATGCCTTAC